GACATTGGTGGCTGCCGCAAGCAGATGGCTCAGATCCGTGAACTGGTCGAACTGCCACTCCGCCACCCGCAACTATTCAAGTCCATCGGTATCAAGCCCCCTCGTGGTATCCTGATGTTCGGTCCGCCCGGTACTGGTAAAACCCTCATGGCCAGAGCCGTGGCCAACGAGACCGGCGCTTTCTTCTTCCTGATCAACGGACCCGAAATCATGAGCAAGATGGCTGGTGAGAGTGAAAGCAATTTACGGAAGGCGTTCGAGGAGGCCGAGAAGAACTCACCGGCCATCATCTTCATCGACGAGATCGACTCGATCGCACCTAAGCGTGAAAAGGTAAAATTATTAAACCTCCTCATAATGACGCGTTATTCATGCAGTTTCTATCTAGACAAATGGCGAAGTCGAGCGTCGCGTGGTGTCGCAGCTCTTGACCCTCATGGACGGGCTGAAGGCGCGTTCCAACGTGGTCGTTATGGCCGCCACCAACCGACCCAACTCCATCGACCCTGCTCTTCGCCGATTCGGTCGCTTCGATCGTGAGGTCGACATTGGCATTCCCGACCCAACTGGCCGTCTCGAAATCCTTCGTATCCACACGAAGAACATGAAACTCGGCGAGGACGTTGACCTTGAACAGGTTGGTACCATTCCTTAGTCGACAACAACCTCATTCTGAACAACTATTTCCAGATCGCCGCTGATACTCACGGATACGTCGGTTCTGACGTGGCTTCCCTGTGCTCTGAGGCTGCCATGCAGCAGATCCGGGAGAAGATGGACCTCATCGACCTCGACGAGGACACCATTGACGCAGAGGTCCTCGACTCCCTTGGCGTCACCATGGACAACTTCCGCTTCGCTCTTGGAACCTCCAATCCCTCTGCGTTGCGCGAGACGGTTGTTGAGGTGCCGACGGTCAAGTGGGACGATGTTGGTGGTCTGGAGAAGGTCAAGCAAGAGCTGCAGGAGACCGTGCAGTACCCCGTCGAGCACCCGGAGAAGTTCATCAAGTACGGCATGTCGCCGTCAAAGGGTGTTCTCTTCTACGGGCCTCCTGGTACGGGTAAGACCATGCTTGCCAAGGCCATTGCCAACGAGTGCAATGCCAACTTCATCTCCATCAAGGTGAATTGTTTTCTATTCCGTGCGATATCTACAAGATGTCTGACGCATTCAACAGGGCCCTGAACTGCTCACGATGTGGTTCGGTGAGTCTGAGGCGAACGTGCGGGACGTCTTTGACAAGGCACGGGCGGCGGCACCGTGTGTCATGTTCTTCGATGAGTTGGACTCGATCGCCAAGGCGCGTGGCGGCGGAGGCGGCGACGGTGGAGGTGCTGGCGACCGTGTTCTCAACCAGATTCTAACGGAGATGGATGGGATGAACGCGAAGAAGAACGTGTTCATCATCGGCGCGACGAACAGGCCCGACCAGATCGACTCGGCGCTCCTGCGTCCGGGACGTCTCGACCAACTGATCTACATCCCGCTCCCTGACGAGCCGTCACGGTTATCTATCCTCAAGGCGTGCCTCAAGAAGTCGCCCGTCTCTGCCGGCGTCAACCTTGACTTCCTCGCCAAGAGCACCCACGGCTTCTCTGGTGCCGATCTCACGGAGATCTGCCAACGCGCCGCCAAGCTGGCGATCCGCGAGAGCATCGACGCCGACATCCGCAAGGTCCGGGAAAAGAAGGAGAAGGATGAGGCAGCGGGCGAGGACAGCATGGCCGTCGAGGACGAGGCAGCAGAGGACGAGGACGACCCTGTCCCGGAAATCACAAGGTTTGTCACTCTTCATTCTTCCTTCGTGAATTGTTACTTATCGATCTGTGCAGAGAACACTTCGAGGAGGCGATGAAGTTCGCGCGTCGCTCCGTTACGGACCAGGACATCCGGCGTTACGAGATGTTCTCCCAGAACCAGATCCAGGCTCGTGGCTTCGGGAACAACTTCAAGTTCCCCGAGGGCGAGACTGGCTCGACGACCGCCGGGACGAGTGCGGGCACTGGGAATGCTGGATTCACGGAGGACACTGCGGACGACGACCTTTACGCTTAAAAAAATGCTGTTTCTCCCTCGATACATTACCTGTAGTTGCAATGAATAGACTCTCCTTCATCTCTCAATTGCAAAGAATTGCAAAGACGGGACTCGGAATATATTAAGATGGAAGTCCGAATTTGCTTCCACCCGTTTTGGCAATAATATGGCCGGTGGCAATCAGAGACTCGACATCGACCAAAAGCACGCGTACGCGTCTCTTCCCGACCACCATGTCGCTGCGGCGCCTTTCGAATGCCTCGCGGACGCTGTCGGCAACGTCTCTGAAGGAGAGGCTGTCGATGCTCACTACGACGCCGCTGGTTCCCGTCGCCACCGCCTTGCAGGCAAACATCGAGTTCGTGCTAGTTTGTAGTCTTTCGCTGAATTCCCATCGGATTTCAGTTTCGTTCCTGCGCGGATCCCTCGCAAGCGACGCCTGCAGATGCTTGCTGTCGCGGTGTGGTCGGTGGGCATCATCCTTGCAACCGTTGTGTTTCTGCTCCTATGGTAGGTTTTCCGCGAGTTTACTGGACGTGGACCTCATCTTGAACTAGTGCGTATCCGCCCCTGTGGCCTTTGCTATGTCTCTATCAAATCTGGGCGAGGTGCATCGATAACAGCCCCGAGAACGGTGGACGCACCAGTTCATGGTTCCGTTCACTCAAGTTTTGGACATATTTTGCGGATTATTACCCTGCTTCGTGCGTGCCTTGGACTCGTTTGACGCTTGACCTAATCTTTGGCTCAGATTTCTCAAGGCGCGTCGGGCTTGCTAGATTTGAGCCTTTTCTAATGGACACTGCAGGAGGCAGACCTCCCAGCAGATAGGCCATACTTGTTTGGCTATCACCCTCATGGTACGCATCCATCTATCTCTCCATGCGCAAATCTGACCCGTGCACAGGTATAATTGGGATGTGTGTGTTCAATCCGTCTTTTATTGCTCATGTTCACTCCAAATAGGGGCGCACTGGCCACATTTGCCACCGAAGGTTTTACCTTTTCCTACCCCACCCCCTGTGAGCTGACCCCCGCCCCCACAGCGACGGGCTTCTCCGCCGCTTTCCCCGGCATCAAGCCCCACCTCCTCACCCTCGCGAGCAACTTCAGCATCCCGTTTTACCGCGACATCATCCTTGCGCTCGGGATATGCAGCGTGAGCAAAAAGTCGTGCTCCAACATCCTGCGGGCGGGCCCGGGATCGGCCATAACCATCGTCGTGGGTGGCGCTGCGGAGAGTCTCAGCGCGCATCCGGGCACGGCAGACTTGACGTTACGACGACGGTTCGTGCTTTTGATGTCCCCGCTCGGGCTATCGCTCATTACACGCACAGGCTGGGATTTATCAAGCTAGCCATTCGACACGGGTTTGTCTCAATATATTTCCTCTCGCCACCCATCCAATAAATATGTTAGCGCGGACCTTGTGCCTGTATTTTCCTTCGGCGAGAACGATGTTGGTAGACTTTCTTTGGAGAACAAGTTTCAACCTGATTCCTGTTCAGATCTACGAGCAGATGCCGAACGAGCGCGGGACAACGGTCTACAAGTTGCAAGAAAAATTCAAATCTGTCTTTGGCTTTACGCTTCCGCTCTTCCATGGCCGCGGCCTGCTCAATTGTTCGTTTTCGATCTCTCCCAAGCGAAAATGATATCAACTGGGATTTGCAGATAACCTCGGTCTGATGCCCTATCGCCGGCAGATCGTCGCCGTCAGTGAGTAGCCAGCATCTCCAGTCTTGGCTTTTAAATTGACATGCGCGCAGTTGGGCGTCCCATCCACGTAACGCAAACGGAAAACCCGTCCTTGGAGGAGGTGATGAGGATGCAGAAGCTGTATATCGAGGAGCTCGAGCGGTGCGTCTTTACCCATCCCTCTTGCTTCCCTTCTTCTTTATTTATTTATGAGGCATAGCATATGGAACACCTACAAGGACGTTTTCGCCAAGGCCCGTGTGCGGGAGCTGAGCATCATAGACTGAAATACGCTTTACAATAAAATAAAATAACGTTAAGTAACCTAACCTCTAGAAGCCTTTAGAAAGAGCGTACATGTACAGTATTTAACCTGAGGCTCGTTGTACCTTACTTTGTTGAAACCCTCGTATTTTTTGAACGTGCTTGTTCTGTCAACATCATTTGAGCTTACTTCAACCTCACTTGTTGCCTCCCGTGCACGGACCAACCATTATGCATTATGACGTAGCCTCCGAAGTTCGCCGAATTTTGAACATCCCGGTGTAACCCGACTATTTCGCCAAAAGCCGTTTGGGAACCTACCACCGGTCGGGACTGATGGATGTATCTCGCCCAAATTTCGCCTTAACGAATCGATGTACACGGCTTCCGATTCATCCATTCCTGATGCCAGTGTCGATCCCCGCCTTTTTCTTGTTGAACCGTACGCGTGGTTGAACTTGTCGTCAGTGGATCTATCGGTGTACTCTTCATACAATCTTCGTGTGGCGTCAAGACCATTTAACAGTTGCACCCAACTACCGTGCTCATTGGTTCAGATCTGTTCGCCGTTGAGTCGTTTCCGTGGACAAATGGTGCGGCCCTCACTTGAAGATCGTCGTCGCCCAGTATGCGCATGCAGTACATACATATGATGGTACTTGGGAGAATTTGAAGGTAAGATAGAACAATGAGTTGCAAGAGAGAAACAAAACAAAACAAAGCGAAAAAATACTCTCGACAGTGGATCTATCGGTGTACTCTTCATACAATCTTCGTGACCATTTAACAGTTGCACTCGACTACCGTGCTCATTGGTTCAGATCTGTTCGCCGTTGAGTCGTTTCCGTGGACAAATGGTGCGGCCCTCACTTGAAGATCGTCGTCGCCCAGTATGCGCATGCAGTACATACATATGATGGTACTTTGGAGAATTTGAAGGTAAAATAAGTAGAACAATGAGTTGCAAGAGAGAAACAAAAAAAACAAAGCGAAAAATACTCTCGACCTGGGAGTCGAACCCAGCTTTCGCGCGACACGATCATTAATGACAAGCGCGTGTACTAACCGATATACTAGTCAAGACATAAACAAGCTGTCAAAGTAAAGTATACATACATACCAGTGAAGTCAGCTCAGTTCAGTCCTGGATCGTGTCAATTGACGAAGTGCGCTCCTTCTGCCCACGCATGTAGATCTAAACAGGGATTAGGTTACTCTTGTCAGAAGGAAGTCCTAGACCGGTAACCGATCTCTCTATGAAGTGGCGAATGTCTACCGACACTTGTGTCCCGTAGACAGAACGGTCACCGGTCTAAGGAAGTCCACGAACATCGTTTTTGCCCAAAGAGAATACAGGGACACGGTCCGCACTAAAATATTCATTACATAAATGCGTCGGCGTCGTGGTGAGCATCGACAGCCTCTCCTTCCGTGTAAAGTGCCTTAATAGTCACTTGGAACTTGTCACACAACAATAACCAGAACGAAGTATATTCTGATATGTTGTATAGTACAAGTAGTGGGTAAAAAGTAAGGTAAACAACTAGCTATAAGGCGCTGGTTTATATATGGGCTCCATGAGCCTGGGATACAAACAGCGCCATCAAGTAGGTAAATAAGACAAGTCGTGGTGTCCATAAAAGGAAATACAACCCCTATGTCCCAATGAGGTATTCAACACCTAACATTCTCCCGCTCTGGACTCCCAGTCCAACGGAGGTGCACCAAAATTTCGAACATGTTCAGGCGATAATGATACAAGCAGTCGTGCGCGTCAAGAAGATGAGGGTGAGGACGGATAAGACGATGATGGGTGACCCCGTCGCGATGTTGTCCGATACGGCGAGGCGCACGATCCAAAATGTGGGGGTTGGTGTACAACGGTGGCGAAGACCGGAATGGGATCAAGATAACCACGTCCATGCCCGATATGTGAGCAGCAACATTGCCAAGTTAATTTCCTTCGGGTTGAGTTCCGAAATCAAGCTGGCGAATCCCTGCGGTGAGCTGAGCGTTCTCATCGAAATGCAGAGTGTTGTCGGGCGCGTTAATAGACGCGGACCCGGATGGGGCGGATAGTTGTTGGAGATCGTGGAACGAAATGAAGTTCGGAGCGTGAATGCTCGACGACAACCCCGAGAACTGCTGCGGTTGTTGCGCCGGCTGCGTCTGCTGCTGCGACATCGGCGCTGCGTGTGACTGCCCGGAATGCTGCTGCTGCTGTGGGACGCTCTGATGCTGGGCCGACTGGAACTGCAGCTGCTGCAACTGCTGCTGCTGTTGAAACTGCTGTTGCTGCACGTACTGCTGCTGCGCCAACATCGGGTTATAACCCCAGGGGATGGTCGGTGTAAACATGGCCTGAGCAGGCATTGCGGACGGCTGCTGGAATGCGGTGGGCGGCGGTGCGGCTCCGAACACGAATGGGGCTGCCATTGTATTGTTGGCGGCAGGGTTGAACATGAACTGTGGCGCGGTGATAGTGGATGTATGTGCGGTGGGATGTGGGATAGTGTCAGTGGCCGCGGCGGCGGCGGGCTGCACAAGAGGCATTTCTGCGTCCTGCACACAGCCGGCGGCGGCGTTGGTCGCTCCCTGGGAGAAGCCAGATGTTTGAGTTTGTCGGGGATGTCCTCCTCTGAATCCCCCGCGCGCTGCATATTCTCCTCGATGAGCTCCCCGCCCACGATTCAAGTTGCCTCCACGCCCACGTGACGAATATCCACGCGACGAGGACGCGTTGATTGAAGATCCGGGAGTCCCATTGACTCTCCCGCTCATGTTTGTGCCCGGGGGTAACGCTAGAAACATGTCTTCAAGCGACGCGGCCTTCTCCAGGGCATCGTTGGTTTGCTTGAGGGCGTGCAGCAGCCCCGGTGGACGAGAAAAAAGTAACTCCTTGCTGAACGGCCGTCCTGGGGCCACTTGTCCATCCTTAAGGCGGCTAGCCTCAATAAGATGGTCTAACTCGTCTGGATCCCAACCGTCGTGTGGTGTGTCCCGCAAATCATCAAGTAAGTTGCAGATGAATGCATACATCTCGTCGGCGTCTTCTGGAGTAAACCCCATGCTGGCCAACTTGGTCACCACCACCTTGTCCGTAAGATCGTCGGAGTCAGCGAGCTCCCAATGGACGAGCTGTCGCTTCTGTGCGACCTGTATGTCGGGGTTTTGTTTCAAGTCCCACTGGTAAGCACCAGGTGGAGCCAGAACGGAGAGCAGCGCGTGCATAATCTTGGCACGCGCCGTGCGTGTCGCATGGTTTTCGGCGCAAGGCAGCGGCGTAATTGCACGCCACAAAATAACACCTTTCACCAAGCGCAAGTCGAGTGTGTCATAGTCATCCATAAATGGGCATCCAGGAATCTTGTGTCCCCAGTGCTGGATATGGGCCGCCGCCGCTGTCTCCGGGGCACGGTAGTCCGGCTGCGGCATCTTCGACCAGAATGCTTTGTTGTAAGTCCAGTCGTTGGCATTCACGACCAATCGTTGGCACATCGCAAAAAACCAACACGGGAGTCGATAGTTGGCGAGTGCGAACTTCTGCAGCTCAGTCAACTGTCCGTTACGCGCTTCAATCCGTCGTGCAATATAGTATACCAGAAACACGCCAAACGCCACGATCCAGCAGTCACGGTCCAGTGAGAACTGGTACGCGTCTGACCATCCTGCAATCGTGGTGGGCATGAAAGTGCCGCGGTCCACTGGCCATGAACCGGCGGCGGGCGGAAGTGATGAACAATGAAGCTCAAGTATGATGGAGCGAGGAATGCCAACCAGCTTCAAGAAATCGATAGCGGTGTTGAGCTTTCCATCCTTAACAACCAGGCTGCAATCAGGCGAAGGGTATTCCGAACGCACTAATGGTACGTTGCCTTCAGTAAATTCGACGTTCCCGTAAATGAACAGAGAATCGGACACACGATTATCGTCCGATCTTCGCAACCCAGCTCCAGCGCCTACATTATCAGAGCGCTTTCGCTTCCGGCTGTCATCCTTCGTGTCGCGGTTCAACGCATCGCGCAATCTGGCCAACTCGTCGAGCGCGGCGTCGTGCTCGTTACGGAGTTTGCCTAACCGTATCTGGCAATTGTCCAGTTCGCGGTCGTTGGTGAGTTTGTGTGCGGCCAGGTCGATCATCTCCGTTTGGAGTCTGTTCGCGCGGTCGCTTTCCTTTTCCATAACTGCTTTGGTGGCTCTAAGCTCTCCTTGAAGCCTGGCGACCATGCTGGCTTTGCTTGTCTGGTCGTGCCAGAAATTTCGCAGATTGATGGCCGCTTCCAGGCCTCCATCGTCCGCGAGAACTGCAGCACTCAAATGCTGGAGGTAGGACTCGCAGTGTGTACATGCTTTGTCCTCCTCTGCGTCCTCCTTCTCTTCCTCGAGACGTTCTTCCTTCTCCGAGGCTGTCTCGTCTGGATCGGGCAAAGGTGGAGGGGATTTCGCCTCGCGCACCGACGTCCTACATACTGGAACACCATAGAACTCCTGCACGCGCCATTTGGACACGCGCACTCGTTCCAACAGCTTGCGCTCCACAGGCACATCCGCGGGATCGGTTTCCATCGCAGGTAAGTTCTGCATTGCCCGTATGCACGCATACGCCTTCGGCGGGCTTTCGCCTGCGTTTGGGTGTCTGCGCACTAATCCTCCCCCGCGAAATCCCTGAGAGATTTGCTGAGGGCGATCCGCAGGTTCGGAGTTCTCCCCCTTGTCTACGTCCATCTTTTCAGGGATAGCGCTCGCTTTCGAAACGCCCTTCCCTTTTGACGCGACGATGGGCGGCTTGTCCACATCCATCTGCGCCACAGCGGAGCCAGAAGCAGAAGTCGCCGCAACAGCATGTTTGCGACGGCCGCCAGTTCCCGGTTTGGGGGCAGTCGGAGTACCAACGGTCCTGGGTATGGGTTTCTGTGCACCGGCCATTGTAGTCGGACGCAGGTGAAAGCGGGTGATTTGAGTCGAGATGCGAGGCCGCGCACGGGAGTTAAGAGCAAAAAACCAAAATTATCTCAGCAATACACCCGTGCTGCGCCTTGCCGCGTGAGCTTCCATATTATTTTAGAATCCGCGGCATCAGATTTCAGGTCCAATGTAAATCTTTTTAATTAAATCACCACGCGCTAAAGTCGCGTGGTCATCCTGCTTACGCGCGCGCCTAAACGCGCGACGCGTCCGCCTTTTTGGGTAGCGACTGCCAGCGTTTTACGCCATGCAGCGCAAAGTAATCATCCAATGCGGTCAATAATTTGACCGCGTTGAATTTCTCCCACGTAGTATCACCGAGATTCCACTGTACGTGGAATTCTACGGCCGATCCACTCCACCGATGTGCGAGGATCGAGTCCACGTACCACTCGTCATCCGCGGGTGCCCCGAAATCATATGGTCCAGGTTGATCCCGTCCAGGAAACAACGCGTCGCTCGACTCAATATACGGTCTGAGCAAGCTAACGTGAAACCGGTTATGAACTCGTCGGGACGCGAGCACCTCAGGTAGCTCAAGCTCGTAGTCAGAGCACTCGGGTAGCGCTTTCTGAACACGGTACGGACCCACGAAGCGTGGAAGCAGCTTCCTAGCGCGCCCCTTCGGAAGCGAAAGGTTCGCAGTCGATAAGTAAACCAGCGATCCCACAGGGATCACCGGGTCTTCACGACGGTGCTTATTAGCCTGAGTCGTGGAGAAAACGCGTGCAGCAATTATTGCATCGTGCGCTTCCGTAAGGTTTAACAGGGCGCGCTCCGCAAATGCACGTACTCCGGGAGGAGACTTTTGGGCTGCGTTAAGTTCAGTAATCATATGGGGCATATACCCACCCGTCAATTCAAACGGAGAGTATCCCGTCGATGCACTGATACTTGCGTTAATCGCGAATTCAATCATAGGCAATTTAGACACCCAGTCCTTCTGATCTGGGCTGACCATCGACCTAAGCATTTGACCAATGGACCGATTGGCACGCTCAGTCGCGCCGTCAGTTTGTGGGTGAAATGCCGTCGACATGAGCAGCTTCGCCCCCAGCAAACGATGCACCTCTCGCCACCATGCTGACGTGAACTTCGAATCACGATCAGACACGATG